GGTTTTATGGGGCTGTCCACTCCCAGGCTGAACGGTAAACCTCGGAGGTAACTTCACCACTGAGCTAAAAGGGTGTCTGGGGGCCATACTCTCGAACCTGGCACTGCTTTCTTGGTGGTATGAGGTCCCCCTGTCTCTCTGCTCACTTCTCTCTTTTGTAATCTCAAGAGATTGCCTAAAGACACAATCCAATCTTGTAAATTGAGTCCTGCCTCACTAACACAACTGCTGCCCATCCTCCCTCATTAACATTATAGAGGCAGGATTTACAACATATAGGAAAATCACACAATACCAGGTATCATGGCCCAGCCAAATTGATACACGTTTTTGGGAGGACAAAATTCAATCCATGACATGTGTACATTAGATGATAATAGTGTATTGATGTTAATTTCCTCAAGTGTGATAATTATCTTGTGGTTATGTAGAATGTGTCCTTATTATTAGGATAGATGCTTAAGTATAGGGGTGAGGTGAAATGTGCCATGATAGCCACAACTTTCAGCAAAATGAAAATGAAAGAAAAATGTATATATATATGTATGTGTGTATGTGTGTGTGTGAAGAGAGACAGAGAAAGCAAATGTGGCAACATGTAAACAACTGGTGAATCCAGAAGAAAGGTATACAGGTGATCATTGTACTATTCTTTCAAGTTTGCTGTATGTTTGAAAATTTTCAAAATGAAAAATTGAGGGGAAATGCCTATAGTACAAAAAACAACAAAAACTCAGTTGCTGTCAAATTGATTCTGATTCATGCCTGGTGACCCCACGTGTGTCAGAGTAGAACTGTGCTCTGTAAGGTTTTCAATGGTGGGTTTTTCAGAGGTAGATCACCAGGCCTTTCCTCTGAGGCACTTCTGGGTGGACTCGAACCTCTAGCTTCTCAGTTAGCAGCTGAGTGTGTTAACTGTTTGTACCACCCAGGGACAGAACAATACAATTCCAACCATCTAGGGGACAGTGAAGGGAAATGTGGCAGCAGGCACTGTTCCCGAGGCCCTCAGGAGAAACATGTCAACTATTTGTGACTCAGTTAACCCCTCCATCCAGCCTTCCATCCCTGCTGCCCAGAAAGCATCAAAACTCTAACCCCGTGGCCCAACAACACCCTCACTCTCAGCCTCTTTCACACAGACTCTCCCAGGTCCTCATCTGATGTGGACAGCCACCCCCTGGCTTAGCTAGGATGGTACTCAAAGTGTCTTAAAGCGCCACAATTCATTTCCCCGGAGCGTGAAGGAAACCCACTTAACTAACGACCCATCTTGGGTTTTTTAAAAGTTATATTCACTTACCTTCACAGGAAAAAAAAAAAAAAGAAGAATTGATGTACACAAAATGTCAAGATTTAGTCATTGTACGTTCTCTGTGGATCCCTGTCAGTGAGGATATTTTCCATCTACGTTGTCAGATTAATACATTAGTCATCGCTCCCTTCGCTTTTTTTCTTATGGGCATTTCCTTGGATTTCCATTTTTGAGGGCCTATGGAACTTTAACGTGCTAACTTTGCCTAGCCACATGTTTGGTGTGGGGCACTAGGGTTATTTCCAAAGTCTGCATATTGACTTGGTCATGAACCTCCTTTAGAAGGAGGGAAAGTGCCTGCTTCCTTCCGTTCTCCTGGGAGAAGAGGGGTGGAAGAGAAGGGCCAGGATGAGGGCCTGGGGGAGGGGTGGTTCTTCTTCCAGGCAGGGAGTGGGCTGGGCCAAGTCCCCAGCCCACCAGGCCATGCCAACAATAGCCTGTTGTAGAAGCAGGCAGGAAGGAATGCGGCCCGGGGAGTTGGGCGGAGGGGCGGCTGCTGCGGTGGCGGCCGTGGGGCGGGGCCAGGTCTCAGGGGCAGCCTGTTACCTGTCCAGGTAGCTTGCATTTCGAGGCGAGCGGCGGCGCCCGCAACACCTGTCGCCCGGTGCATGGGCGGGGAGGGCGGTGGGGGACATGGCCTGGTAGAGTCCCCTGGGGAGAGCGTACGGAGTTCAGTCCTGGGCAGGGCAGGGAGAGGGAGGGAGGGTCCTTCCTTGGTCCTTGCGCGGCCTGTGGCAGCATGAAAAAAAACCAGACGGCGCAGGGCACCTTCAGCAAACTCTTCGGAAAGAAGCATGTCAGCCCCAACACCACCTCCCTCTATGCCACCAACCCTCCCTGGATTTTCACCCGAGAGGCCTCGGAAGAGGGGACCAGGGATTTTGGTAAGTGCGCCGGGGGAGGGGAGGGCGCTGGGAGAGGGGGCTAGCAGCGCCCCTACCCCCTGGAGACCGCCGGCCGCGCCACCTCCCCTCCGGATCTCTGCATTGGCCAGGGGCGGAGGGGAGGGAACACGTTGGGACCTGTGAACCCGCCGAGACGGACTTGCCGGGAAGGGGAGGAGGCGCCCGCACCTGGCTGGTTCTGGGACAGGGCGGATGGGGGAGAGGTGCGGGGAAGGCGGGGACCCTGTCGCTAGCGACGCCGAGCAACTTTGCCGGCTCCGCCGATCTGATCCCCAGTCCTTCATCCACGGTGTTTATTTTCCTTCTTTGGCGGAGGTTTTTGTTGACATATAAGGCTTTCTGGGGTCTGCAGTGGTGCCCTCGCCCCTCTGCCATTCTCGCTTAGTCAGAGCTGGGTGGGTGAGGTGGGGAGGGGTCGCAGCTTCCCTCATCCATTCCGCTTCTTCTGTTCTCCCCAGTCCCAGGCTCTGGCCTCTCCTGGCCCAAGGTCTCCATATGCTGGTTTCCATAGGCAGAGAGAGGGAGCTGCTCTCCTGGGCGCCTGCATGCTTGGGTCTGTATGGGTGAGGCCTGGGGAAAAACTACAGGAGCCATCGCTAGGAGGATACCAGCCTTTGCGGGACAACAAGTCACTTCTTGGGGTCATAGGCTTTTGCTGGGTCAACCTGGGGCCAGGTCTCCCATGAGGAGCCAGAAATGGGGCAGTGGAAGCCGCTGGCCCCTAAGTCAGGGTGGGTGTATCTCTGCAGCAATAGAGAACATCACACCAGCCTGGGGCTGTGGCTGTGGGTCATCTTATCCCTGCATCTCTGCAATTTGTTCTCTATCTAATGGGGGAGGGAAAGCCAGGGGGACAAGTGACAAGAATTCACTTCTTGTGTATGGCCCATGGCTCTGGACACAGGGGAGGGACTTCTGGGCCCAAGGAGGGTCACCCATCACTGCATTAGCCTACCTTCATGGTGAGCACATTCTCATTGCCCTCTATGGCCCTTGTGCTGGGCCCCAGATAATGTTACAGCATCGGTCCTGCTGTTGGATTCAGTTCAGCACCCAGGTTGCCATGGTCAGGATAGAAGCCACCATGGATAGAACAAGGGCAAACTTCACTGGCCCAAGGATCTCAGACCAGTGGGTGGTGAACAGAACTAACCACATACCATTTAGCCCTTTCTGAGCCTTTGCTGTAAAAGATTTTTAAGTGCATAGGGACAGAGAAGAGAGAGAAACTCTGAGTGGAAATAGCATTAGAGCTGAGAGGGAAGGGCATTTCTGGCAGAGCAAACAGCAGAAGGAGCAGGGCATGCTGGAGGCATGGTTTGTTGTTGTTGTTAGGTGCTGTCAAACCAACCCCATGTACAACAGAACTAAACACTGCCCAGTCCTGTATCATCCTCACAACCGTTGTTATGCTTGAGCCCATTGTGTGCCCAGATGTGTTGGCATGTATAACCCTGTGAGGCCAGAATCGCTGTCTTCACCTGAACAAAGACGTTGGGCAGCAAACGCATGGTGGGTGCAAGGTGCCATTGTCATCTTTGTATTGTTGACTCATTAAATCCTCATCTAGCCTGCGAGGCAGGTACTATTATTATCGTTCCTATCTGACAGATGAGGAGATTGAGGCACTGCGACAGGAGAAGTCGTCACATGCCCAAGATCATTCAGCTTTAAATGGCAGAGCCAGGATTTTTTTTAAGTGGACAATTGAATGATTTTTAATTGATTCCTAGGGTTGTGCACCCATCACTACAATCCAGTTTTAGAACATTTCTGTCACTTCCAAAACGTTCCCTCTTGAGGCAGAGCCAATATTTGAACCCAGCAGTCAGGCAGGCTCAAGACATCATACTCTTAACCAGTTTGCTGAATTGACTGCGGAGGAAGGAGATCCAAGGGTGAATTTGACTGGAGGGGCTTCTGCTTTAAGAACAACCCCTCCCATTCTTCCCCCAAGGGGGAGCCTCACAAATGCCTCTCAGGTACTCCCTCTATGTTTTGGCCCTGCTGAGCAGGCTGCTGGTAGGGACCTGTCCGTCTGTTGGGGGAAGTGTGGGCACGGTGCACTGACACCCCAGCCAGCTGCCTTCACCAGTCTGGGCAGGGCTGGAGCCCAGGGGCAGCTCCTGTTCCCCAGGGCAGGGCTGGGCCTCCAGCTGAGTCAGCCTGGTTGCGCCTTTCACATGGAGGGCTGGAAAATAGAGCGTGCACCGGGCAGGATGGCTCCCCAGTTTCCAGGATGTTACCCAGGGAGCTGGGGTGGGGAGGGGGGCATAGCAGTGGCCCTCCTCCCTGCTGAACGAGATTTATGGGCTTGGGTAGTGGAGGGTGGGAGTGGGGCTGGTATTGTGGATTCTGTGATGTGATGGAGATGCCAGACAGAGTCAATAATGTAGGAGCTAGTCGCTCTCTGGGCCTCAGTTTTTTCTTCTGTGAAATGGGGATGGTGTCTAGACTGCCTACAGGACAGTAGAAGAACATTAAAAAATGAAAGCTCTAAAGCAAGGATTGACAAACTATAGCCCCAGGTCAAATCCGGCCCCTGACTTGTTTTGTAAATAAAGTTTTATGATAGCACAACCAGCCACGCCCATCAGTTACACGTTGTCTATGGCTGCTTTCACACTACGATGGCAGAGCTGAGTAGTTGTAACTCATGTAACAGATCATCACAGAAAAATTTGCCCAACCCTGCTCTAAGGCATGATTTATTATTATCAGGTCATTCTCAGCTTTCATCACTTCCTGCCCTCTCCTGCTTCAGTTCTTAACATTGCTGTAGACTGGAGAGAAACTGAGGCCATCTTAAGCTCTTAAAGGTGTTGGGATTAGAGTTCCACAGGGACCCTAAGTCTGTGACATTCTCCTTTAGCCTGGGGTGAGATGCAGGCAGTATCCCGCCCTTGGAGAAGAGGCAGTGAGATGGAGGGGAAGTCAGTGTAGGGGTGTGTGAGGGAATTAAGGAGTAACTGCTTGCTCTGTGGCCATAGCCCTGTAAAAATGTGTTTGCACAAGAGCAGGTTGGCAGCAGCGGGTAAAATGCAAACAGTCACGTGAAGGTAGTGACAGATAAACTTTCCTTTAAAGAATTTCCCTAACATTTCTTCCAGTAACTATTAGGCAGGCTTCACTTAATGCAACTGCGATCCTAATTAAGCCTCTCCCTTCCCCCAACCCAAGCGAGTGACTGAAAAAGCCACATAGATTGTTTTTTAAATGCATGAGAAAGCAGAGCAGAGATGATGTGGATCTTTGCAAATTCCGAGATAAGGGCAGGGCTGCTGCTGGAGACAAAGCTGCCAGTCGCTCTGACTCCACCCTTACCTCTTTATCTGCCTCCACCATACCCACCCCAGCAATGGGGCACCCTTGTTCTCTGGGGGATTCCTCCTGCCCTGTTCGTAAACCACCTTCATCACAACCACCTTGGACGCTTATTTAAACTACGGATTCCTGGGGCCCCACCCCAGGCACACAAGGTCAGAATCGCTAGGCTAGGGCCCAGGGTCTGGGTTTTTAACCAGCTCCCAGGTGATTCTTTCAAACAGGAAGATTTAACAGCCCTGGGGGTTCCTTCCCCAGACCGAGTGGGGCTGTTCTCTTTCCCCTTAGGACTCCCTGCAAGGCACACACATACACACAAAAACCCAAACCGGCTGTCAAGTCAATTCTGACTCACAGAGACCCTATAGGACAGAGCAGAACTGCCCCATACGGTTTTCAAGGAGTGCCTGGTTTGAACTGCCAACCTTTTGGTTAGCAGCCATAGCTCTTAACCACTGTGCCACCAGGGTTTCCGCAAGGCACACAGTAGGTTCTAAATAAATGTGTAGGGAATGCGGCCGATCCTTATCAGCAGAACCCCAGTGCTCCCCGGTGTGGATGCCCCGTTCTGGTGTCCCCATTCCTGGAGTCCCCTGAAGTTGTGACTCAGGCCAGGCTAAAGGGTGGGAAGCCCTGAACTCCCAGAGGCAAGCACAGATTTCCAGCCTGGGCTGGGCTGGTACCTGCAGACCAAAAGCTGACCTGTGCTTTGTTAGGGTGTGAAGGAGACTTTTGTTTACTCTCGTCCCCTGGAGGCGCGCTGTGGTTTGCTGGCAGTTCTGTACACACATACACACCCTGCCTGCTGCTGCATTATATAAGCTCCTCTTGTCCCTGTTGTTTGACTCCAGAAAGCCAGACCCCTCCTTAACCCCTGAAGACCGGCTATGGGGCGCCCCTTCTCTCCCAGCCAAATAATAATAATAACCACAATATCATTATTATTATTGGCAACCATTTCTCGATCCAGGCATATATTTTCTCGGTCGAGGAAACAGGCTCTGAAGGCTCAGGTTAAATAACTCAGTCATTCAGCACCGGGCAGTTCAAACGTTAATGTGCATCCAATCACCTGGAGACCTTGTCAAGCTCCATACCGATTTGGTGGGCTTAGAATGGGGTGAGACAGCACTTATAACAAGTTCACAGGCGAGGCCAATGCAACTGGTCTATGGACCAGATTGAGGGTAGCAAGTCCTCTTCTTCCTCCAGGCCCCACACTGGGGGGTCCTTTCTGCTGCCCCCTCCCCCAGGTTCCTCCTTTTCTGTTCCCTCTTCCTCTGCTCTGTGGTTCCCTGCCCCCATATCCCTCCACCCTAGACCGACAGCCAGCGTCCCCTCTGCCCTTGGACAGAGGGCTTTCTCTGCTACTCAGTTCAGGCCTGCTGGGGCTTGCTGGGACAGACTAGCCTTTTCAGGTTCCTGTCATGTGGACCTGTTAATTAGCAAAGTAGGGCCTCATTAATGCCATTTGTCGGTTATATTCACATGCTCCCTCCGCTGCTGCTTCTCTGAAAGGCTGGGGCTCCTCTGGTGGCTGAGGATTGGACACCCCACCTCAATGGGGCAATGGTGGGGGGTCTGTTTTTGGGCTCTGGGTTACTCTGGGTCAAGGCAACAAACTCCCCTGCCTAAGCCCCTGGAATCCAATTAGA